TATGCACATTTCTTTCCTTCTTTCTTTCTCCTCTCTCTGTCTCTCTCTCCCTCTCTTCCCTTCCCTCCGCCCTCCTTTTTTGTGTATGTGTGCTGGTAGTAGGACTTGAACTCATGGTCCAGGCTTTTTTTTTTTTTTTTGCTCAAGGCTGGCACTCTACGACTTGAGCAAACTTTCCATTTACAACTTTTTGTGGTTAACTGGAGATAAGAACTTCATGGACTAACCGCTTGGCTTCTAAGAGTAATCCTAGATCTCATCCTTTTGAATAGCTAGGATAATAGGCATGACCACCAGGCTTCCTTTCTTCCTTCTTTTTTGATCTCTCCATTCCTCTCTGCAGATCCTGCTGAGCTCCAGATCTCTGCTGGCTGCGAGGTGTACCCTGGGAATGGCTCAGAAAGCTTTCTGCAAGTAGCATATCAAGGAGAATATATCCTGTGTTTCCAGGGTTATTCTTGGGAGGCAGCCCCAGATGCTCCGGCTTGGATAAAGTTGGTCATCAAAGTGATCAATGAAGACCAAGGGACAATAGAAATAGTGCAGAAGCTCCTCAAAGACACCTGTCCCCAGTATGTCAGAGGTCTTATAGAGGCAGGAAAATCAGAACTGGAGAAGCAAGGTCAGTCTGCCATTTTCACCCCCTGCTCTACACTTAGGGTCCATCTAGGCTTTTCAGCTCAGAGATGATCATCCCTTTCAACAATAGAAAGGGATAGATATGGCATGAGGATATATTCAATTTGCTGGCAATCATGGGTTACCACTTGGGTTCTGTGAATGGAACTAAAGCACTGGGGGCAGAGCTGAAACCAGGCAGTCTTTGAAAGACTCTGGGTGACAGAGTGGAGCTCAGAGTGAGTACTGAGGAGGGACAGTGGAATTAGAGAAAGAGGAGGAGGAGTATCAGGGAAGGCTCTTCTGAGGAAGGTGACAAAAATGAATGATACCTACCAGGAATTTTCATCTCCAGAAATGGACATGGGGGGAAATATGAGCCTGCTGGGAGGCCTGGAACCTGTCATGCACAGTCCTTACTTGAAGATTTCCCCATTTCTTTGTTGGGAATAGTGAAGCCCAAGGCCTGGCTGTCCAGTGGTCCCAGTCCTGAGCCTGGCCATCAGCGGCTGGTGTGCCACGTCTCTGGCTTCTACCCAAAGCTTGTGTGGGTGATGTGGATGCGAGGTGAGCAGGAGCAGCTGGACACCCAGAAAAGTGACATCATGCCCAATGCTGATGAGACCTGGTATTTCCGAGCAACCCTGGATGTGGCGGCTGAGGAAGATGCAGCAGGCCTGTCTTGTCGAGTGAAGCACAGCAGTTTGGGAGGACAGGACATTGTCCTCCACTGGGGTGAGAAAAAAGGGAGGAGAGGGTGCTCCAGTTTAGAAGTAGGAAGGGCTGGGGTTGTCACAGCTCACTTCAGAGATGAAGCCTTTAACCAAGAGGGCTAGAAAGAATTCTCTATATAGGAAGCAGGGAAACAAGAGACCAGAAACTCAAAAAGGTCTGTATACAAGAAGAAATAAAGACTCAAAACTACACAAGTAATTGGCAAATAAAGAATTCCAGGATGATTCAAGTCCTAGCAGAGAGGGGACCAGAGACTTTAGAGAGGCAGGTGAACAAAGGCAGTGGTGGTTTATCAAATGCTTCCTGTGTGGGGACTCATCTTTACTCCTCACCTTTGAGACAAGAACTGTTAGTGTTATGTTACAGATGAGGAAATTGAAGCTAGGACAGTAATGGGGACGTGACTATTAGAATATCCAAAGTTCCATTGAAAATGCAAGAGCAGGATATAGAGAGTCCAGTCTCCCTTGCTAAAGAGTTTTGCCTCTGTACTACACTGTTGTATGCTAGAGCGAACTGAGTGCCCCCATCTTGAGAAAAGGAATACGATCTAATTAGGAATAGAAGTAGATGCTTTAAAGAAGTTAGAAATAAGCACCTGACAACCTCAAGCATTCTTAGACCAGGGGACTTGACACAGGAAGGGGTCCTCTGCTAGGAGACATCCTTTTTGTGTTCTCTCAAAGCAGATAGGAGCCACACATCTGTGACCAACATTGTCTTGGGAGTGCTGGCATTTCTGGTCTTCCTTGGGTTCCCTCTAGGCTTAATCTTGTGGTTTAGGAGACGCCGGTAAGTCCCCTCTTTCCATTTGTTTCTTCCCTACACCTCTCTCCTCCACTCCCTGCTTCCCTTTTCCTAATGGCTTCTTCCTTTTTGATTGTCTTGCAGCTCCTATCAGGATATACTGTGATTCTCCTGGCCATGTCTGCCCCTCTGCAACTCAGGACCTCTAGTTCCCAGGACTTCATTCCTGGTCTGCTCAGGAATTGAGGATGAAGAAGTGAAGAATACTTATGGCATCCTTTAAACCCCAGTCATAAAGGAACTGGAGTTCTTTTTGACTATGGAAATTTATAGGCCCAAGTGGTTTTTGTACAAACAGAAGTGCGAACTCAGATGCCTACCAGAATCAAGCAGACAAGGACTAGAGTGTAAGTGCCTGTGGTTCTGAGCTGGAAAGCACACATCCTGTCCTAACGTAGTAGCTGCAGTGGTTTGTTGCAGGCACAAAGTCAACCCTGGTTTGGTTGTAACCTGCGTTTGTCAAGAAAACAAACTGCATTTTTTTCCCCCCTGACATACTTACATTAAAGTTTAAAACTTAACTCAAGTTTATTGTGTGTCATGCATCTCATAGACACACCTGCTGGCTAATGACCACCCAGGAATTTCCAGTTTGTGCCTCTTTTATAAGCATCCCCCCCAATGATATATTGGCAATATTAGGAATGTTTCTATTGTAAATTTGGACTTAATGACTCTACTCCCCACTCTTTCTCTCTCTTTCTACCTCTCTTTGTACTGGGGCTAGAAATCAAGATTTTTAAGCTTTCCTTTAGCCTTTTCTGATTAAGGCTGCTGCTCTACCACTCGAGCCACAACTCTGCTTCCAACTTTTTGCTTGTTAATTGGAGATCAGAATCTTGAGGCCTATTTTGTCCAAGCTGGCTTTGAACAGTGATCCCCAGATCTCAGCCTCATGAGTAGTTAAGATTGTAGTTATGAGCTATCCATGCTCAGCTCATTTTCTTGTACACTGTAATTTTTTTTACGGTCAGAAGTTCCACTCATCATTCTATATTTCTGTGTTATCTTGCCCTGTCATCTCAGTATGGTAATTTTTAATGGGTTCATTGTCAAGTACTCTAAATGCCCACAGGCCTTATAAGATAATTGATTCTTTTATTTTATTTTATTTTATTTTTTGGGTCCGGTCGTGTGCCTGAACTCTGGGCCTGGGCGCTGTCCCTCAGCTCTTCAGCTCAAGGTTAGCGCTTTACCACTTGAGCCACAGTGCCACTTCCGGCTTTTTTGTTTTTGCTTATGTGGTGCTGAGGAATCGAACCCAGGGCCTCATGCATGCAAGGCAAGCACTCTACCACTGAGCCACCTTCCCAGCCCTGATTCTTTTATTTTTAAAAAATATTTCCTCCTCCTCCTCCTCCTCTTCCTCCTGCTCTTCCTCCCCCTCCTCCTCCTCTTCCTCCCCCTCCTCCTCCTCTTCCTCCTTTTCCTCCTCCTCCTTCTCCTCCTTCTGCTTCTTCTTCTCATCATCATCATTGTATGCCAGTGCTGGAGTTTGAGCTCAAGGCTGAGCACTGTCCCTTAGCCTTTTTTTTTTTTTTGTCAGTTGTGGGGCTTGAACTCTGGGCCTGGGCGGAAAGCTTTCCCTGCACTTTTCAGCTCAAGGCTAGAGCTCTAACGCTTGAGCCACAGCACTACTTCTGGTTTTCTAGTGTTTTATTGGAGATCAGAGTCTCAGGGATTTTCCTGCCCAGGCTGGCTTTGAACTGTGATCCTCAGATCTAGCCTCCTGAGTAGCTAGGATTACAGGCTTGAGCCACTGGCACTTGGCTTCCATTAGCCTTTTTGCACAAGACTGGTGCTCTACCACTTAAGCCATAGCTCTACTTCTGATTCTTCTTCGGGTGGTTAATTGGAGGTCAAAGTCTCATGGATTGCCTGCTGGGGTTAGCTTTGAACTTTGACCTTCAGATTTCAACCTCTTGAGTAACCAGGGTTATAAGTGTGAGCCCAGAGCCACCTAGAGTATTTCTTACAGTATTTAGTAAATGAGCATGACAGCAAATGCCTCCTTTCTCTTCATAGTCTAATTCACTAATCAAGTATACAGCAGATTTCCTTTGTCAAAGAGACATACTGCCAATGCTGATTATTTTTAGTGGCTTGTGTTTAGAGCATAAGGCACACATTTACAAACTTTCTTGCTCTGCTCGGCTCAAAGGAAAACAAACTGGTGGTATGGCTTGTAGAAATATATTCCCATGATTCCAGTCTGAGGCTGGTGGGAGGAGTAAGGAAACAGGAAGATGAACACACTGTTGGTGGTGTATGTTATTTTAGGAACAGCGGTGAAGGCCTGAGAGGCCAAGTCAGCAGCTCCCTGTAACAGAGACTCTGTGTGACTAATCAAAACTCTGCTCTGTAGAATTAACAACAATCTGATTTGCAGATGAAAATGAAAGGCAGGGGAAAAAAGGTGGGGAGAAAAAGGCAAACAACAACAAACAAAACAAAAGTGCTTCAGAATAAGAAGCTGCTAAAGACCACTGGAATCTTACACAATTATTTTTAATTTTTCTTTTCTGCTCCTGGGGCTTGAACTCAGGGCCTGTCCCGGAGCTTTTTTTTGCTCAGAGCTAGTGCTCTATCACTTGAGCTATAGCTCTACTTCTATATTTTTGTAGTTTACCTGGAGAAAAGAGTTTGACAGATTTTCCTGCTTGGACTGGCTTTGAATCCAGATCCGAATTCAGCATCCAGAGTAGCTAGGATTACAGGCCTGAGTTACCAGTGCCAAGCACAAATCTGTATTTTAAAAAAAATTAAAGAAGTATTTTTTATTTTATAAAACTCATGTGTTTATTTAATATTTAGTACTTTATTAAACTATTTTTGAATTTTGCTTATGGGGATTATTGTTTGAAAGGCAGATATATACATTCTTTTTTAAATCAGAATCAATTAGTTGTACAAGAGAATTTCACACTGACATTCATATATGCACATGGTAAACCTTCCTATCTGACATTCTCCCCTTCCCAAGCCAACTCTGATAAGCTTCATTGTTTCATTTTCACACACATAGATGAAATCTTTTCACCATATTCATTCTTTTTCCTCTCCCCATTAATCATCCCCATCCCAGACATGACCTGTTTTAAAATTCCTGCTCTTCATTGTTGTCATGGGTGTTATTTGTTCACTGGTTTTTCATTGTGGTATTTCACACATTGCATATAGATTGTTACAGGATTTCCATCAAGTTCACTACCCGTGTACTCTCCGTCTCCTCTTCCGCATTCCCTCTGCCCCTTACTATTCAGCAACTTTGTGTGTGTGTGTGTGTGTGTGTGTGTGTGTGTGTGTGATGATACTGGGGCTTGGACTCAGGGCCTGGGCTCTGTCCCTTAGCTTTTGCTTTCAAGGCTAGCTCTTTACCACTTCAGCCACAGCTCTGTTGGTAGCTTTTTGGTGGCTAATTAGAGATAAAGGTCTCATGGATCCCTACCCAGAGCATATGGGAGACGGCAGTCTTCTGCAAAGCTAGGATTATAGGATGAGTGACAGGTACCTGATTAACACTTTGGTTTTTGCCAGTAGGGAAAGAGGCATGTGAGGGCCTCAATGATCTGTGTTTACACCTCCTCTTTCCCTCCCTCTTTCTCATCAAATGGACATTGGAGATGGGCCATTAACCAGGTAGGCCTAGAAATGTAGGCATTTTCATTTTGGTTTGTTTGGATTTTATTAATGTATATATCATTAAAATTTAATACATACCCTTCTGAAAAACATCCTAAAGTTACCTAACTGGGCAATATTTTGACATTTTAATGTATGAGTTCATTCATTTCCTTGCATTTTTCTCTTTTCTTCCCCCATCCATGCAAATTAGCCACATGCTTTTTTTCTGCCTCAGGGGAAGAATATTGTTGGATAGAAACAGGAAGTAGCTTCCCTGTTATTCTGTATTATTTTATAAATGCTTATGGTGTATATATCAGAAAGGCTACTGGGTCTGAAGAGGCCTTCTGGGAGTGATGTGGGACTTTAGCAATAATCTATGTTATTATCTTACAGTAACTTGGGTTAGTGTATGAGCTCTGTAAAAGAATTGGAACTCTAGGGATTGGATTGTGGGCAAAAACTGTCACAAGCTCCCCACCATGTGCTGGAATAGTGCTCAGGGTTAGGGATTAGATTAACTCCTGAAAATCAAGTGCTAGTTCTTGCACATTCTACTTCTAGTCCAAGATTTGCAGCCATTACTGAGGGAGTTTTATGTGGAAGTGCTGGATACCACCATGTAGATTGCATTTATTTAAAAAAAATTCCATTACTGTGGACTTGAACTCAGGGCCTGGGTGCTGCCCCTCATCCTTTTCACTCAAAGCTAGTGCTCTACCCATTGAGCCACAACTCCACTTGTGACCTTTTGGTAGTTAATTGGGGAATAAGAGTTTGGCACAGAGCATATCTGCAGGCTGTATAAATGAAAGCCTCCAACATCAGAGCCAATATGTTTTGAGACAAATGTTGTGATTGTGTGGGATAGTTAATTTGAAGTCTTGAGATAGACTTAGCATTTAATACTGACTGCTGAATTCTTGTGGACTATAATGAGCTTGGTTTGAATGATAATGATATAGTATGATTTATTGCTCTTAAAAGCTGGACATACAATAGCTGGAAGAACCAGAAGGTAAAAGCAGCCTTGGTGGAACTTTCTGAAGTTACAGATGTAGACAATGTCTCAGCTCCTACAATTTAGCCATATTAGCAACTGTTACCACAGCATATTCCCTTAGTATCTTCTTGGCCTGGTGAGATTTCAACTTGAAAGGGTGAATCTGACTCATAGTGAAGTGTGTGGGAGGGGCAAAATTACATCTTACCTGCAGTTCAAACTCTCAAAAGAGGGAGGCTCATAAAAGAGAGGCGAGAAGGGAAGGGATGCTGGTTTTTTTTTTTTTTTTTGCCATGCTTGGGCAGGGGAGGGGGGAGGGATCTGACCCAGATCCTGTAATTTTTGTGATGCAGTCCTGCGCCAGTTGAAATGTCCTACTGACTTTGAGGCCTTTGGGGAGCCAAGAGAAGCACTCGTCTGCTGTTGGGCCCGAGAGCCAGCTGCAGTCACAGAAGGACCTACATGCCCCCACCTGTGGGAAAGGAAGAGGCGACCAGCCGTGTTCATAGATGATGGGACTGAACGCAAGCAACCATGCTTGAAGGAAAGCAATTGCTGTACTTGATAAGGGATTTAGTCAGGTGGAAACGACTAATACATAAAAGCCAAGTCGATTCCCTATGTTAACTATGACCAACTAGAAAGGGAAACAGGAATAAATAGGCCATTCAAAGAGTGACAAAAATAAAAAGCACTTAGAAATAAAAAAAGTACTTTTGAACGTGGTGCAGTTCCATACACACAAAACTAGTTCTCTGAAGGAGTAAAAAATTGAATTAGTGCAAATACATACTCTATTCTTAATTTAGAATACTTAATATAATAAAATAACCCCCCACATAAACTCCAAAAACAAAAACACCCCTCTAAAACAAA